TCTCCTCAGTGCAAATTTGGTGGTATTGGAGAGCTTGGCTATAAATTACAGCTTTCTTGGTGTGTTTAGGGTGATTGCTGGTTCTATGTAGATATGTATGTTGGTCTGTGGGTTTCTTGTATATAGTGGCTTGTATTTTACCATTTTGCATATTGATCATGGTGTCCAAAAAGGAAATGCTGGTGCTAGAGTATTCAAATGATAGTCTGATGGAGGAGTGATGATTATTGAATATTTAGAGGAAATCAATCAGAGACTGGAGGGTTTTGATCCAAATGATGAAGATGTCATCTATGTAGCTCAGGTATAGCATGGGTTTGATGATGCAGTTCTTGAGGAAGTCTTCTTCCAGGTGGGCCATAAAAAGGTTGGCATTTTGTGGGTCCATTTTTGGTGCCCATAGTTATCTGAAGGAAGTGTTGATTGTTGAAACTGAAGTTGTGTGTCAGGATGAAGTATATGAGTTCAGTGATACCGTGAGGTCTATACTCTAAGGTCTGTACTCTGACTTGTAATCTTGCTCTTATAGATATGTAAGGCAGTCTTGGATGCCATCCTGGTGTGGTATGTTGGTGTATAAGCTAGTGACATCCATGGTGGCTAGTAGGGTATTGCTAGGAAGGTGGTCTATGTTTCTGAGTTTTTTCAGGAAGTCTGTTGTATCTTAGATAAAATTCAGTCTTTGGGTGATGAGCAGTTTTAGGATGGATTCGATGAAACCTGATATTTCTAACACTAGGGTTCCATGGTTACACAGCAAAAATCTATCAAAGACAAGAATACCTGATTACCTGTGGGGTCACACTTCTTACAAGACAATCACTCTCTCTTCAATCTCTCAGTTCTAATCCTCAAAGGGAACTTACAAAATACCTTTTGTAGATGAGTCTATGAACCTCACTTCATAAATCTACTGGATACAAAAACTCATGGACTCAGTATAGACATTGGATTTATGACACATTACAACCTGCCAGACATGTGATTCACCAGGTACCTGCCAGACCTAACCTTTTACACTTCTCTTTTTCCCCTCTTCCTCCCATCATCTCCTTTTCTACCCTTTGTCTTCCTAATTTCCAGCTATTTACTTTTTCACAGGAAGCCTCTTTTCTAACTTGAAAAAAGTACTACAATAGAGCCTCCCTTACTTACCTTTGGCTTTTTTCCCCCTCATTTCCCCCCTGCTTCCCTTTTCTATCTTACATTTCCCTAATTTCTATCTATTTACATTTTCAGTGACATCCAGTCAGACTTTAAGCTTCTTTTGTTCCTTGGAGTCTCAGAACAGCAAAGATACCCTATGCCTGAAGAAGGGTGACTGCACCCAAAAGCTTGCAAAGACCTTTTTTCATACTACTCAGTTGGTCAGTGGTGACATGTAGGGGGTGCACAGGGGTGCACATGCACCCCCTGAGAGCACTGGTGCACCCCCTGACAGGCAGTGCTCCCCAGTTAGGCAACAGGCAGGGGGGGCAGGTGGAAGTGCCAGTGCCCCCCCTGTGATCACCAGCCAGGGAGTGAGGGCACCAGGAGAAGTGCCATTGGCACTTCAAGGAGTACTGCTCATGCTTCTGGGTCAGCACAGTTAGCCGTGGCGGGATCTCCCCTTCCTGGTCACTGACTGGTAGCTGGGGGGGGGCCACATGCCCCCCTGACTCAGGAGGCACCAGTTGCCCATGCAACTGGTCTAATAAAAGATACCACATCTACCCAAAGAAACTTGCCTGATTTTCCAGAAACATATGAGAAATGAGTGATTTTGTAAATCAGGCCAATTTGGTTGGATCTCATGTCTAAACTTTAGGCACCCCTTTCTGACAACATCAGCCATAACACATTATTAAAATGACCATTTGCCCCACTCTCCCTCTTACCTTCCCTTTCTATTTTGGTCCCCAAAAGGCTCCTAGTGAAAAGTTCTGCATGAGGCTTCCACCAGAGATTTTGCTACCTAGCTTTCAGTTGACTGGTGTGGACCAGTAAGGGAAAAATAAGGTCCTTCTGCCCAGCAGCTGAACTTGTGCATCTGGAAGTGCTCCCAGAGGGAGCTGATAGAAAAAAAATCAAATCTGACTTTCTTCCTCAGGTGAGGGATGGCAGGAAAACCACAGGTCAATGTTTTTTCTACAAAATTATCACCAAAACTATCCCATGTTTACCCTGCTCTAACCCATTGCATTACAAGCCTTGGGAGATGATTTCCTAAAATATATGATAAATATTTTCCCTGGATTTAAACCAATTTGATGAAATTGTGAAAAGGGTAAAAACACCTAGGCATAAAGCAAATACTATATACTAGACTGATGGTATAAGTCACTCTGGATTCCACTGTGGCAGAATATCTTTTGCTGTTATCCAACACACCCAATGTTGTTTAGATGCATAATCGGATGTGATAAAACCCATATAAAAAGGGCACAGATGGCTATACTGCAAACAAGCCTGCTTTTAGGGACACTGTGAACATGGCCTCTGTGAAGAAGAAAGCTTTGCACATCCATTCCTGTCTTTGATTTCTTTCCAGGTTATATGATTTTTTTTTAATTGTAAAGACTTGAAAATCTGAAAAGGTTATAATAAAGCTAATGCAATCTTAGCTACAACAGCACTAGTGGGTGTGACTATTAAAATCTCATGAAAAGCATAATGAAGCATTTTTTACTTTTATGCACTAACTACAAAAGAAATCAATTTATCAAAACTGTTCACTACATCTGACTAATAGTTTTGTACATTACAGGACTACTCAAATAACCAGTGAATGCTGATAAGCTGTAAACTGTTTGTCTTTTAGTAAATATAGCTTTTGTGCCCAACAGTGCCATTAATACTGCTGCAATAAAATCTTGAACCAGAATGCATAAAAGCATTTCAAAAGCACGGGAGACGCCTTTTACAATTTCCTACATTTGCATTATGTTCTTTTGCCTTCCCCACCTCCCCTCCCCTCCCCTCCACAAAGGAAAGTAAGTGGCATGCAACTATATTGCTTTGGATTGTAACCTTCTGGGATCACAAAATTTAAGCAGCATTAAACATAGACAGTGCTTAGATGGCAGACCCCTAAAAAAGCCAGATACTGTAGGAGGTTTTATTGCCAATTCAGCTGGTTGCACTTTGCCCTCTAAATCAGAACTGAACTAATGTCCCATTATAGTGTTAGGCAATAAGGTGTTGCTGACGGTGCTGCAACTAAACCAAAATTATGAATTTGCTGCAACAGTCAGTACAATGAATTCTACAGTCTGTGGTATGCTGCATGTCAGATTAGGTGTATATAATAATGTCTTCTACCCTTAGAATCATAGACTCATAGAATCAATGAGTTAGAAGGGACCTAGACAGATCATCGAGTCCGACCCCCTGCCATGGGCAGGAAGGAGCACTGGGGGTGGCAGGGGTCATAAGACCCCAGCCAGGTGCCTATCCAGTCTCCTCTTGAAGATCTCCAGGGAAGGTGAGAGCACCACCTCTCTGCAAAGCCTGTTCCAGGCTCTGGCCACCCTTACAGTGCAGTAGTTCTTCCTAATATCTAACTTAAACCTATCCTCCCTCAGCTTGTGGCCATTGTTCCTGGTGACTCCAAGGGGGGCCCTGGTGAACAGACTTTCCCCGAGTCCCTGCTGCTGGCCCCTGATAAGGCTGTAGGCAGCCACAAGATCCCCCCTCAGTCTCCTCTTGCGGTGACTGAAGAAATTCAGGTCCCTCAGCCTCTCCTCATAAGGCTGGCCACGGAGGCCCTCAACCATACGAGTGACCCTCCTCTGGACCCTCTCCAGGATCTCCATGTCCTTCTTGAAGTGCGGTGCCCAGAACTGGACACAGTACTCCAGCTGCGGCCTGACCAGCACCTCATAGAGGGGGAGAAACCACATAGAGGGGGAGCAAAATCTGTTAATCTCACTGAAGAAATGAAAAACTATAACTTTTCTTCCAGTCATGATAGAAGTAAGACAACTACTAAAATAGTATGTTGATGGGAACTATTAGTAACTAACTTGATACAAAGATCCATTGCATTGTATTTTTGTTTGCAAAGAAAGAGGTATTAACTTCAGCCTCCTGGATACAATTTAGCATTTGGGACAATTGCATTCTGATCCTCACAATGGTGCCCAGATATGACAGCAATAGGCACATTACATTATAGATACCTAAAATAATACACAATAATTTAGTCTCCTTTCCCCTTAAATGAAAGAGGAATAAACTACTACAGAGAAGCTTTCATGTACCAGGGATTAAAAGCATCCACACTGGTAGAGACACTGCCATACTATAAAGCCACACCCTTGTTTACCTCCTAGTAACTTGTTTGCTTGCTCATATCCTTAGTCAGGTGAACATTTAACTCAGTATGTAAAGATTTAAACATTCCTCTCCTGTGCTTCCTTGGGTGATGATTATATCATAGCATACGGAAAACATATCAATACCACTTAGTATTTATGTCATGCCACCCGCTTGAGAATCATAAAGCACTTTACAAACATTAATGGTTGAAATTCAACCTTGGGCAGAGGGACAGCAAAGGACTATACATCACTTAAGTCCCATTTAATCCTTCAAAACAGGGTTTAAGTGAAACTTAAATGGTGCATGGCCCTTGTGCTGACTAGCTGCAGAGCTGAGTTCCTCTGATTAATGACTTAACCCTCACAAGCACAACATCCCTGTGAGTTATGTCAGTATTATGGCAGATATAGTTCCTTTGAAAGGAAACATCTCTTCCCATGTTGTACTTTACACTCATTTGGATTATTATCCTGGCAAAGGTTGATCTTCTTCTATGATGATTGTTGATGCTGCTCTATATGACTGCATCCTTTGTAAATGAAATTTAAAAGAAGACAGACCAGGTATGTGAGCCATAAACACTAGGGAAGTTAGTTAAAAAAAACCTAGGGGAACAGCAAGAACAATCTAATAAAATTGGCCTAAATACAATATGAAGTTTTGTGCTCTAAAATATTATATTTATCTCACCCTTTCAGATCACGCTTTAGAAATCACAGACTTAGAGAACAGGGGACTCTGCGATATACGAATTTCTGATTGCAGCAGGATCCGGGTGTTTGGCCTTGGCTTCAGAGATTCTCCTCATCTACACTGTGAGGTCACCAGATTGACTGTAAGCAGTGTGCACCATGGGAACACAAGCAAAGGAAATGGGTGATATAGTAGAACTCCCGAGACGTGTTGGGTGTCATTTTGGTGTGCATAACACCTATTACAAACATTTACCTTGTAAACCAGGGATTTAACACTTACGTGGTCTCACAGGCTGGATGAGGAACACAGGGCTAGTCTGCTGGCCTGACTGAGCCCATAGACTGGTCTCACATGCCAGATCAAGCTGCAGGGATAATCCAGTGTGGGATCTGCATGCAGTGTGTACCCTGGACCAGGTCCAACACATATGCCAGCTCCAGCCCTGTGCACCACATGCAGCACCCACCATCTCTGGCCCTGACCCCAGCCCTATGTGTGGCACATGACGTGTGAGGATGGTCTGAAGCATGAGCTACATGCAGGACACAGTGGCAGTCTGAGGCACATGGTACCTGTGGCACCTGTGCCAACCCAGGCCTGCATGCTGGATCTGGTATGCAGGGCTGATCTATAGGCCCAATTTAGGCCAGCCCTGAATCCAGCATGCCAGTGTGGCATGGCACTACACATGCCCCCAACTCAGTCCCATGTACTGCATGTAGAGCAGTGATCTCCTAACTTTTTAAGTAGGAGATCATCTTTGGCATTTAAAAGCACCCCAAGACCTATCATCACTGCCAACCCGCCACCCAGCAGGTAAGTCTGTGGGAAGGGAAGGCAGGGCAGATCGAGACAGAGGGAAAAAAAAATTATTTGGGGATGTGCTTCCCCAGCAGGTAAGTCCCACTAAACCAGGTCCCCACTCAACTTACCCCTGCTCCTGCCTCTGCAACACTGTCCCGCACCATGGAGGCCTGAACTAGCCCCCACCCCTTCCCTCCCCCACAGACTGACCTGCTGGCTTGGGGCATGGACGTGCAGGCATGCAGGCACTCAGCCCTCCCACCCCACCCTTGGATCAAGACTCCAAGAGGCTCTGAGATGTACTGTGAGAGGCTCCGCGATCTACCGGTGGATTGTGATCTGCTGGTTGGTGCCCACTGATGTAGAGCATTCCATCTCCAGCCCCATGGGCCACACAGCATACAGGGCTGGTCCAAGGGCATATGCTAGTTGTAACACCCATACCAAACCAGTTTGGGGTGCTGGATCAGGCAAGTGGCCAGTCTGTGAGCCCAGTCTGGACCAGTCCTGTATCCAGAGTACAGGGCCAGTCCAGCACAGGTTGCATGCAACACAACCTAGACTGGCCCTGCACTGTGTGCAGCCCACACCAGACAAACTTTACCATGCAGTGTGCTGGACCAGTTGGAGACCCACAGGCAGCACTTCAGGTTGTGCGCTAGGGCTCCACAGGCCAGATCCAGTGCATGGGCCATATATTCAACACCCCTGTTGTAAACAAAGGCTGAAGCTTCTCAGCACCTCACAGGATTGGTTCCTAAGGAGGCCAAAACAATGTATTCTTGCCCATTTTCTCTGTAGGCTTTTGTTTAACTGTAGTTTGGTTCAGCTTCACTCCAGTTCAATGAAGCCTGAAATCACAATATTATTTCCCATTTTGTGCATCTGGAATCTGTATACTTGGCTGTATTTCTAAATGCTCTTGAATGTTAAGTGTTGCAGCTAAATATAAGGCTTCTTTGACACAGTTACACCAATATTTGAATTTTCTCAGTTACAGCCCACTGTTGAGTGGCACATTTGAAAGATTATGATTATCTATCTTGTTCTGTAATCCTATAGTTTTATTTAGTTAAATCTGTAGAGCTATGAACTGGAGCCAAGTAAGTCCTTTGTAGCCATTTGTAATCAAAATATAAGAATACAAAGGGGCAATATTATGTGTTCTTGAATTATTCGATCTATGTATATATGTGTGTGGGGGGGGTGTTTATAAGCTCATATAAACTTAGCACTCATATGCTCTCTGTGTGTGTGTGTGTGTGTGTGTGTGTGTGTGTGTGTGTGTGTGTG